TATGAGGATTCCCTCATTCTTTAGGATACAAGAATTGGTTAATTCTTGAGCTCATTGAGGCAGGGTGTTCCTGATCTCATGTTGGATTGTAACCACCAAAGCCCTCTCCCCAAATGTGTGGTTTCATCTTTCTTGTACCAAGAGAGTTGTGGCAGCAATAGCCTGAACGCATACCGGCCACCCCCGCAGTACAGGGTCCATTAATTTGCAGGAAGGCTACTGGTTTTAAGAGACCTCCCCATTTATGAACCCTTTTCTGTTATTCCATCACAGACTGTTACAAATATGTGGAAAGGTTTTTTTTTTTTTTCCCTCCATAGGTAGTGAGAGAACTGGAGCCGTTGTAAGGGCTGTGGTCAATTTTTCGACAATTGCCTAACAGTCCCTAAAACTTTCTGAAGTCTCACTCAGTTCCTCAATTCTAGCAGGAATTATTTTTCTACTCCCTTCACCAATCAAGTGTCCAAGATATTTGATCTCTCTCTACATACAATAATTTTAAATTTGATGTGGCATAGGTTGATTTTTATTTCTTGATTTAGAAAGTCGAATTTTGGCTAATGTGGCATCCCAGAGGGATTATGCTTCAAGATGTCCAGGATGTCCCAGTATCCACTAAAAATTCAATTTCGCAATTTCTTGGTCCCACTTGCAATATTATCCAGTGTTCTTGGTGGAACCTCAGATGCAATGACTCCTGACATATTTTATTTTTCTATCATCTAATTTTCTCTGTTCCTCCCCCTCTTTCTAACTTTAGTAAATCACACACATGTCTCCATGAGAGCTTTCTCATTTCCTCATACAGGCAATTTCTTTATATGAAAGTACTCTCCTTTTAATCTGGGACAGGGGTCAACACACAGACATTTACACCATGTTATTTCTTTCTTTTCATCATCAACGTACTCACACATTTATACTGTAATCAGACTGCTTGCATAACCAATTTCTCACACAAAAATTACATTTCATTCTTACATTCTTTCTCCAAGCAAATCAATCGTTACTTACAATTCTGTTCTGAGAACTTTTTCTCACAAGCCAATAAGCTCCATTCTCTCTTTTTTTTCTGCTGTTAGAGGATCTCATCCTCCAGGTTTGGAAATGATTACACAGAGACACATTCACACACACAACATTTCCAGACCTGGGGAGGTTTTGTCCCTTTAAATCTCCACTTTTTCTTTCTTCAGCAATGGGTTGTTGCCACTTCCCTTTTTCTTGAGTCAGGACTCCAAGAGCCATATTAGTCTTTGAGTCCACATACAAATGGAAAGATTTCTCAAGGTTGGGAAGTCCCATAACAGGAGGTTGAGATGCTAATTATTTTTAAGTCTCAAAAACCTGTTTTTGTTCACACGTCCAAACAAAGGGTTCCCTTTCTCCCCCCTTTGTGGACTCATAGAGTGATTTGGATAGCAGGGCAAAATTTTCACAATAGCCTGCTGCTTAAAAAAACTCCTGTCGGTTGGTTCTGCAATTCAGCACACAACTTCCTTTTTCTCATGTCCTATAGGAGTTTCACATAGTATTTTACTATCTGCGGGGGGGCTCAGGACCCAACCTACATTTGCTTTCCCCCCCCAGATGATTCTACCTGTATTGTGGTTCCCCAATTATGTATTGTGCCATTTTTCAATGCACAAATTTATCATTCTGTTCTTACTTAAACTTTTAATCTAAGGGAGTAGGTTTTCCTCACTCCACTGGCTCAATAACTACTCTAAAGGGTATTTTCACGCCCTTACGTGTTAGAGTCACTCCTAAGGGTTCGCTCTACCTCCTGCAGCAAGAAAGTTAGCTGCAACAACTACAAGAATTCCACATTCTTGTTGAGATTCCCTAACCTGTGTAACTGGTTAGGGGTATTCGGTATACCCAGGGGTATTCGGAGGCCCCTCTGAAAATGCCCTCCTTTTCCACCTGGTCCCTTTTCCTTATTCCTTTCAGGACATTCACCCTTCCAATGTCCTTCCTTTTTATAAAGGGCGCACTGTGTCCTAACCCTGGTCTGCCGCCCCTCGGCAGACTAATTCCCCTACCCTTAGGGGTCCACATCATAGCTGTCGCCATTAGCTCAGCTTTTCGTTTCTTTCCTCCTCCTTTACCTAAGAGAGGGTGATCAGTCCTCTCCTCCGTCCCTGCTTACAGGGAGGGATTATTACCCAAGTACAATACTTGCCTGCAGGCGTCTTCCTTCTCCACCGGCCGGCCCGAAGATGTCCTGGTCTCCTCACCTTTCACCTGTGGTTCTTGGGGGTGTCAACCGCCGTTGCCAGAACAGGGTAGTCTCGGGAAGTCCCTCGGATTCAAAGGACCGATGGCGCCTGGGATGTTCCCTTCAACTCACCCAGTCACTGGCACCCAGGGTGGACCCTCCAGCGGGCCTCAGGGCCCCTTGTGTCCCGGCGGAGTCACCATAAATGTTGCAGCAGATCCTGTTTCCAAACCAGGACACAAGACCACGAAAGGTTGGAGAATACAGGTTTTTATTTGTGCACAAAGGTTCAGAGCATTAGCATGGCAAATTCTGAACCCCTGGCTCTTCCTGAGGTGTCACTTTTATACATTTCATAACCTCAGCCTAGCCCGGGGCATTTCTTATGTTAAACTATACCAAAAAGGAGAAGTACATATCTGTTATTTTCCAGACCCATCCTTATTCACTGAAACATGCTTACTTCCAGTTCCTTAGTTCAGCAATTTTGTGGTTTTGCACAATATTTCTATAAGAAGCAAGGTAAGGGGTCAGAGGATTTCTGGTAAATGCATATTTTGTTTTTGACCTTCCAGGCTGCTTCAGAAGTATCTGATGATCAATACATTAGATTTCATTTTATACATTTTACTTTAGCTTGAGTTACAAATTCTTATTCCACTTGCCCTATGTTTTTATATATGTCTTCCAAATTTAAAAAGCTTTATATTCAGGTGAGATTTCCTAGCAAAAGGAGAAGGAATGGATGCTAAGCTCAAAAATGCTTTTCAAAGCACTTTAGGAAAGAATACTAAAAGAACACTTGACAGTTGAAAATGAAAGTTCTGTGTTAATGAAGCCTAGTTGACTTGAGAAAGCTCCCAGACCAGGTGAACCTAAAACATTTTTTCTTAGCCTTTCCCAAGGGTATGCATCAGATAGTTGGCCCATAGTACTTCTATCCATGATTCAAAGTTTAAACTCATCTCCTGAATTCAGTTAAGCCATCATGGAGCTTGCACAGCTCCCATGCATACATCACAATTTAAGATACATTATTATTATTATTAATTTCCCATCTTTATTATTTTTATAAACAACACAAGATGGTAAACATGTCTAATATATCTTTCTTCCTTCTACTTTTCCCACAACAATTCTGTGAGATGAGTTGGGCTGAGAGTGAGTGACTGGCCCAAGGTTACTTGGCTGCCTTTCACAGCTTAAGAAATATTTCAAAAGTATAGCATATTTAAATTGCATATCTAACTATACAATACGTATCATGTTATATTACAAGCATGTAATATTACAGAATAAAGTATGCAAATAATATGTACAGTATCATGTGATTTCATACTAGCACTAATTCAGTTCTAACAAAGAGCAAAGAACAGTTTAGCTGTAAAGCAGTTTAGCAACTGTGTGAGCGACTGTGATATGGCATTTAAAATTATCTTACAACATAATACTTAGAAGATTGAAGGTGTTTTAAAATATTCTTTAAATGAGTCCAAGTTTAGTGATGACTCTAAGCCTTCCATCTTAAGTATAATTTGGAACTCCTGTCTTGTAAAATAGCTGGCATATTCACAGCCATAATACAACAATTTGAAAATTGAGGTGATTTGGCAGGATTTTATGAACAGCTTTGCCAACTCTCAGGAATGTCTAAAGAAGTTGCAAATTAAAATACCTGAATGTATCCTAAACCATATATTGTCAAAAATTACCATCAATGAATTGCAAAAGACAGCTTTATTTGGAACAGCTTATATTCCTGCAACAATACCTTTAACACCATCAAATAAGACCATCTGTCTATCCAAGGTCTTTGATGGGTGGATAAAACTATCAAATAAGTATCTGGATAATTGGGAAATGAACCATAATATATTAAAAATCTACAGGGTGAGAGTCACCCCAAGAATGGGATGAGCTGTATTCTTAATAAAAATATTATTCATATAAAGAAATCAGCAGTATCTGAGTTGGTAGTTTCCATGCTTTTAATTGAATTTATATTTTCCAGCACGAATAAAAGAGAAGTTGCCAATAACTAAAGTAAAACTAACAGCTGCGCATGGAACAAGAGCCAAAGCATTCTTATTTTAGTTGGCTTTCAGTTCACGGCATGAAAATTTAAACTTTAATATTTGTTAACAGTCTGAAGCAAGGGGTAATGAAAACCAAACTGAAGGATTCCTATAATATTTACTCCCAGGATTATTTTATCTCAGATGGTTAGAAGAAGAAAGTTGCTAGTATCAACCTATACAGCATTTTAAGTCATGGGTCCAAAGCATCTGAAGGTTTTTAAAAATCCTGTACAAAGAATCTCATTATGTACTTCAGGTTATGCTCAGAATCCTCCCCCGGGTGCTTTTTCATGCTATGGTGGGACAAGAAGCTACTTGGGAACAGGCCTTCTCAGTGACACCCCTTGACCACCAACAGCAGAATGCCACTTCTGAGTGAGGGCATTCCACTGTTTCCTACTTAGGGAATTCTTGGCACCTGCTTGGTTTTATTTCAAGTTAACAGGCAAATACCTGATTCGTTTCCTGTATCTTTTAATAATTAAGACTTTAAATATGCTGAATGAAACCATTTAATTTTTCTGTTATGTTTGCCTTGCTAAAGAATTGCATTTTACTTATTGCTATTTGAGGGGTGGTTTGTTTTTTTTTAATTTTAAAATAAACTTTATTAAAGATTAAAAAGAAAAATATATACAATGTATAAAATACCACATATTTTATATGAAACCAATATACAAATACATGTATTGACATAAAACATATATATTTCTTATCAGCTAAGATGGTGTGATCATTTATTGAAAACAATTTTACTAATATTCATTTTCTATTTTTGGTATATGCTCTTAGTTTAACCATTTCATTTTTCAAATCCTTATCTTTTAATTTCCTGGTTTTTCTCCTTCATCCAATTGTACCAGTTTTCCCAAGCTGTAGTATATTTTGAGTCTACGTTATCTCTAAGTTTTTGTGTAATAGGTCCATTTCAGCACAGTCAAGAACTTTCTGAATTATCAAATTATTTGTTGGCATTTGGTCACCCTTCCAGCATTGTGCCAACGCAATTCTTGCTGCTGTGATTATATGGAGAATTAAGTATTAAATTTCTTTTGCATAGTCCCCTTTTAACATTTCCAACAAAAATATTTCGGCCTTAAATTCGAGTTGTATATTTGTAATTTCTTTTATCCAAATTCTAATTTTTTTCCAGTACTTTTTACTTTTTGGGCAAAGCCACCAAGCGTGAAAGAAGGTACCCCTCATTTGCTTACTTTTCCAACAAGTCGGATTTAAATTTGGGTACATATTTGCTAACCTTGAAGGTGCCAGATACCACTGATAACACATTTTGTATTGGTTTTCTTTATAAACAACAGATTTTGTTATTTTGTTATTTTGTTTCCAGAGTTTTTCCCAATCTTTTCCCCAAATTAATATTGTGCTCTACATTCCTTGCCCATGCGATCATTGGGCCTTTAACTATTTCTTCTGCCATTTCAAATTCTAATAGATAATTATACATTTTAGAAATTAATTTTTCATCTGTCCCCTCTAATATTTTATCTAATTGGTTTGGTTTTACCTCAATTCCAAATTCTTCTATATCTTTTTTATATCTCATCTTTAGTTGTAAATATGGCCACCACTCTATTTTCATCCCTTGTTCTCTGAGTTCTTGGTTCGTCTTTAATTCTCCTTGGGAATTTAGGACATCATAATACCTAATCTTTCTTCAAGTTTCTAAGGCACTGAGGTGGATCAATGCCTCCATGATGAAAACGTATCCTGGAATCTTCATATAATGTTTATGTTTAATCTCTTTCCACACTTTTAATAATGAACTTCGAATTACATGTCTATTAAAGTGTGTATATCTCTTATTTCCAGGATTCCACATGAAGGCATGCCACCCCGCCTCTAGATCATGCCCTTCTAGGGTTAAAATTCTTTTATTTCTCAGATTGGCCTATTCTTTAATCCATGTTAAAACTACTGCTTTATAGTATATTTCCCAGGCAGGGAGTCCAAATCCACCTCAGCATCTATTATCTTGTACTGAACTTAATTTTATTCTCATTTTTTCCCCTGACCAAATAAATTTCATGGTAAATTTTATTCAATTCATTAAATAATTTTTTATCTAATTTAATTGGAATGGTGTGAAAGAGAAATAGTATTCTTGGCAAGATGTTCATTTTGATAGTGGCAATTTTCCCTAACATTGATAATTGTAACTGGTTTTTTTAAAATATTTGAAACATTTTAATAGTGTAATCTTAATGTTTTGCAAGTGAGCCCAGAAAAATCAGTTTTGAAGAACAACATGTTAATTTTTAAAATAATAAAAAGAATTTATCTTTTTAAAAGACAGAATTTCCTTGTCAGGTCACTTCCTGTGATTTTGCCTCTCAGTGGCTTTACCTATTGGTAAAGTTATTGGTAAAGTGATCGCAGGGCTAATGGATTCCTAGGGATTTTCTATCCGGTGTGGTTAGCACTCCTGCTGAAACTCTAGGTACACCCACTCTATTTAGCTGCACACTAAATTCGCTCTACGTGTTGTCCAAGGCATGGAGTCTCAGTAAGGACTGAGAGTGATTATTAACACATTAAAATCATTCTCACACACTGCAATGGAAAACTGTGCTGAATAAAGTAAATGTGGGAAAGGTTGTCTTTGTTACTGATGTTCTTCTACCAGAAACAACAATCTTTCCACAACATGAAATAAGATCTTTGTGGCATTTGATAATCTACCCACATTTTTACTAAATACCGGCCAGGAACACAGGATTATAGTTGTTCGTAGTGTGACAATTTATGACATGATCTATAGTCAGATACTTCTATACAATGAATATGGATAGTGCTACCAATTCTGTCTTTTTTCCTACACATCCTTTGCTTACTGTTAATGCTTTCAGATTTTTCCGGTAATTTAAGATGCCAAGGAAAGCAATTTTTCTTTCAGCCTCACTCAAATTAATTGCGTGCTTGTAGAGTACAGAGTCAGACAGCTATTTACTTCTAACAGTTAGGGAAGGATTAAAGAACTTTATTTACTTGGAAGTATTTTCACTTTAAGTATAAATTGTCATGAGGAAATCCAGAACTTTTATATTAATGTGTGGTTTAATCATCCTAGAGCAAAAAACTATTTTTCCCAAAAACCAAAAATTCTAAATAAATATCCAGAATAAATCCATTATTCGTCATCTACATTTTTCTAGTCATTCTTGGATACACTGAATAGCAAGGTAACAGTTATGACTCCAGAGATTGTTCAAGATGCTTCCTTCAAGAAAGCTGAATCTGTTGCTGCAGTGCACTAGCATATACACAATCCATTTATTTTCAGATGGAATTCTGACGTCTGCAGGTAAAAGCCTCATGTTAATAATATCAGGGAATATACTGTATTTAGTTTCAGGTACAAGTGGAGATTCCAATCACAATTATGCATAAAACCAATAGGAAATAAAGTTCTGCTCCTTAGGTACCAAATGTTTGATCTCTATTGAAGTACAAAGAAACTATCAGAATAAGGAAAGAGAAAACAGGTTAATAAAAATACAACCTTCAACCTCCTCATCCCAGGAAGACATTGTTTTATGACAAATACATGAGCTGAAGCACAAGGATAAAGGAAATCCTGCAGCTTTGATAATTTTTTTCTTTTTTAGTGATGATATCAATACTGTTGAGATAATTGACACAGTACTAACTCACTGCATAAATATTCTAAAGCAAATCAAAAATATAACTGAGTGGACTCTGTTCAAATGCATATTGTTTAAGAAGATGAGAATGATATGTTTGCACATGTATATATGACCTGTGACATTTTACAACTGTCTTAAGATATTGCTTCTGCTGCAAAATAGGCATTCTGTGTAAAGGCTCAGATTAGAAAATTAAATCATGTTAAAGATGATTTTTAAGAGAGTATTAATTGCTGTAGCCTAGTGATGTAAAAAATTGGAAGAATGAAATGGAGGGGGAGGAGGAGCCTCCCCATTTATTCAAAACCCACACAAACATTTGGAAGGGAAATTAGCACTACTGAAACATTTAAGGGTAATACTTTATTGTAGGAATGTAAAATGTATTGTGATTAATAGGTTTGCTCATAAAATTCTTTTATGACTTAAAAGTGAGTGGAGTGAAAGTTTTCTCACAAAAAATAGTAAATCCATTTATAATTTACATAACATACCAATATCATTAATGTTTTAAAATATATTCAATTCAGAGTATTTACAGTTGTATAAGAAAATACATCATGCTTTCTTTGATTTCTCCAGTCTTCTTGATTTTCATAGTTTGGTACACAGATGTATTTTCAAGGCTTTGGAAAAGAAGATCCTTCTTAGTCCAAAGTGCCAGTTCTGGGTGGTCCATCTCTGGACCAAAATACACGTCTTCTGGGCAGAACTGTTTGAATGTGGGGAGAGCAAAAAAAGGGCCAGGGCCTTAAATGTGGCAGCTAGGTGAAAGTAAAGGAAAACAGCTGCTGGGAAAACACAGGAGTTAGTAGGATAGGGATAGAGTAACATTTAATTTTAACAATTTTAAATTTAAGATCTCTATTTATTGTTTTAATATTTTATATGGCACATTTATTGAATGAGCATAAGCTGTCTAGAGTTGCCTTTGGTGAGATGGGCAGCATATAAGTTAAATAAATAAATAAAATAAAAAAACAAAATAAAATAAAGTGACATAAATGTGGCCTTGCCCTACTTAACTTCTAAGAAACCCTCCAGACTGTGTCTCAGTTAAAATCCAGAACAATCAAAAGCTTCCCAATTCAGTTCAACTAGACTGAGATCTCCAAAAGGTTCTGGCTGAACTTCCAAAACACAGTGTTTGATTCCTGGTTAGAACAGAATCATGTTTTTAATTTTGTACTCTCATTAAGGTACGTTACATATTTATTTACTTTCCTCTATTAAATGTGGTTTATAATGACCCCAATAAAATGACTTTATGTTAATTTAAGGATATTATTTGTGTTTCAAAATGTTTGAACCAGTATTCCAAATTCAAAGTTATAAAACATGGCACAATAATGTGGATAAACAACTATGATAGAATTCCTAGAAGAATTTAAAGGATCAAGAAGTAAATCTTACTGATTAAGACAAATTGCTTAATTGATAAGTATGTCAAAAAGCATGTAATGAATGCTGTATTAGCCAAATACATGTTTTTCTAAGGCCTAATGCAGGTAAAGGGTTATCCCCAAAATAATTGTTCCTAAAGGGAGGAGAACCCTTTTGTGGGAAAAACATTTCAGTTGTGAAACAAAGATAAGAACCTGGGAAAATTCTTTTGTAAATGTAACCTGGGCTAGGATGAGGGAAGTCTAACTGGGATTATGGCAGGAAGGAAGTATGACAACTGGTCAGATAAGCATAATGGAGGTTAGTTACATAGTTTGTGCCTACCTTCCTGCTACTATACACCTCACTCAGAGTAATTGCAGGTTACTCTTTCAACTGCTGGTACTGTTGTTAAATGCCAGGTCAATGAGTAATGCAAGGCCAACTGGATGTGTTTACAATTAAAATGTGGACTGAAAAACTAGGAGATGGAAATTTTGCACCAGATTAGATAACAGATAACAGATAATCAGAGTTGGGAGGGACCTTGTAGGTCATCTAGTCCAACGCCCCCGCCCAAGCGGGAGACCCTACACCATTTCTGACAAATGGCAGTCCAATCTCTTCTTGAAAGTCTCAAGTGATGGCGCTCCCACAACTTCCGAGGGCAAGCTGTTCCATTGGTTGATTGTTCTCACTGTCAGAAAGTTTCTCCTTATTTCCAGGTTAAATCTCTCCTTGTTCAGTTTCCATCCATTATTCCTTGTCTGGCCTACAGGTGCTTTAGAAAATAGCTTGACCCCTTCCTCCCTGTGGCAGCCCCTCAAATATTGGAAGACCTCTATCATGTCTCCCCTGGTCCTTCTCTTTACTAGACCAGCCAAGCCCAGTACCTGCAACCGTTCATTGTATGTTTTAGCCTCCAGTCCCCTAATCATCCTGGTTGCTCTTCTCTGTACTTTTTCTAGTGTCTCAACATCTTTTTTATAATGTGGTGAAAACAAAACTGGATGCAGTAATCTAGGTATGGTCTTACTAAGGCTTTAATAGAGTGGTATTAGTACTTCCCTTGATCTTGATTGTATCCCTCTGTTAATACAATTTAGGATTGCATTAGCTTTTTTGGCTCCTGGTGCACACTGCTGGCTCATATTTAGCTGGTTGTCCACTAGGACTCCAAGATCCCTCTCACAGTTACTGCTATTGAGCCTGGTTTCACCCAGTTTATGTGTACTTTTGGTTTTTCTTGCCTAAGTGTAGGACTTTACTTTTCTCTACATTGAATTTCATTTTGTTAGATACGGTCCAGTGTTCTAGTCTGTCAAGATCCATCTGGATCTTGAGCCTATCTTCTTGGGTGTTAGCTATTTCTGCCAGCTTACTATCATCTGCAAATTTGGTAAGTTCCCCTTTTATTCCCTCATCTAAGTCGTTAATAAAGATATTGAAGAGTACTGGGCCTAAGATGGAACCTTGTGGCACCCCACTGCTTACTTCCCTCCATGTAAACTTAGACCCATTAAGGACTACTCATTGAGTATGGTTTGCCAGCCAGTTGCGAGTCCATCTAGTGGTGGTGCTATCTATTCCACTTTTTTCTAGCTTACTAAGAAGTAGGTTGTGGTCTACTTTTGTCGAATGCTTTGCTGAAATCTAAATATATTATGTCCACAGTATTTTGCTGGTCTACTAATTTAGTCACTGGGTTGAACAGTGAAATAAGATTGGTTTGGCATGATATGTTCTTAACAAACCCGTGCTGACTGCTAGTTATTACTTTACTTGTTTCTAGATGTTAGCAGATCTGTTTTTTTATTATCTTTTCCAGTATCGCCTTGGGTATTGATGTTAGGCTGATTGATCTATAGTTTCCTGGGTTTGTTTGTTTTTCCCTTTTTTGAAGATGGAAACCACATCAGCTCTTTTCCAGTCCTCTGGTAGTTCCCCGGTGCTCCAGGATTTTTGAAAGATATGGTGCAGTGGTTCTGAGATGACCCCTGCCAGCTCCTTTATAACTCTGGGATGTAATCCATCAGGCCCCGGTGATTTGTTTTCATCAAGATCAGACAGGTGTTCTCTTACTATTTTTTTGCTTATTTTAACTTTTATTTCTGGTCTGTCTTTTACAGTTATGTTTTTGGTGGGTTGAGCTATAGTTTGTTTTGCGTGAACATGGATGCAAAGAATAAGTTAAGCAGTTCTGCTTTCTCTCTGTTGCCTGTTACTTCCTTGCCATCTTCTCTCTTTAGTGGACCAACTGTTTCCTTGATTTTTTTTCTTGTTATTTATATGTTGGAAGAAACTTTTTTTATTATCTTTGACTTTTGTTGCAAGTCTTTGTTCTGAGCCTTTGCTATCCTGACTTCGTCTTTGCAGATTCTGGATATCTGCTGATATTCTGCCTTAGTTGTATGTCTTCCTTTCCATTTTTTGTACTTGTCCTTTTTTTCTTTCAATTTGCCAGAGAGATCTTTGTGCAGCCATGCTGGTTTCTTCTTGGATTTCTTGTTTTTCTTTCTCAGTGGTATTGTGCTGGTCTGGGCTTCTATGATCATACTTTTCAGAGTTTCCCAAGATTCTTGAGTTGTTTTCCCCTTTAGGATTTTAATCCATGGAATCTTTCCCAAGTTCTCTCTGAGTTTATTGAAATCAGCTCTTTTAAAATCCAAGACTCTGGTGTCATTATGTTCTGTTGCTTGTGTTTATGTTATGTTGAATTCTAGTATGACACGGTCACTCTCACCCAACGTTCCTGCAGTTTCAACTCCCTCTATCACTTTTCTGTTTGTAAGAATTAAGTCCAGTATGGCTGTCCCTCTAGTTTCACCCTCTACCTTTTGGACAACAAAGTTGTCAGCTAGGTTGGTTAGGAACTTATTTGATTTCTCACTTGGGTGCAGAATTAGTTTTCCAATTAATATCAGGATAATTGAAGTCTCCCATTATTATTGTTGTGTGTTTCCTGCATATGTTTGTTAGTTGGCTGGCAAAAAGGACATCTATTTTTTCTGCTTGATTGGGTGGTCTGTAATATACACCTATGGCCATGTCATTCTTTTTTTTCTTTTATATTGACCCATATGCATTCTAGGAGCTTTTCATCTTTGGTTTCATGCATTTCTGTAGCAATATAGTGGTCCTTTACATACAGTGCAACTCCACCTCCTCTTTTATGGGGTCTGGTTTTTTTTAATAGTTTGTATCCTTCTACCAGTATGTTCCAGTCATGGGTTTCATCCCACCAAGTTTCTGTTATTCCAACTATATCATATTTACCTTCATGTATTCGTAGTTAGAGTTCACCCTGTTTGTTTCCCAGACTTTGTGCATTTGTATATAGGCACTTGAGATCTTTATGTCTGACACTGTGTTTACTGCCTCCATGACCTGTGTTGTGCTTGCCTGCCCCTACTTTCTTGCCACTTGTTTGATTAATGCACTTGGTATGGCACTCACTATTAAATGCTTGGTTTTGGTTGGCATCAAGGTTGATAATCTTACCTGCATAAACATCTATTTTGCATGCACTGGTATCCTTATTAGTTTTAGGTTGCTGGGGACAGAAATGTTCTGAATCCATTAATTCTCTGTCCCCGCTGTTCAGTTTAAATATTTATCCAGGAAATCTGTGAATTTAATGCCAAGTAACTCAGTCCCTTTCTTTGATGGATGCAAACCATCTCTTTTGTACAGTTTTTCATTGGACCAGCTGCAGACATCATGACTAATAATACCAAAGCCTTCCCTTTTACACCACTCCTTTAGCCACACATTAAACTCTGCTACATGCTGTCCTTTCCTTTTTTTGTTCCTTGTATACTGGTAGAACCTCTGAAAAGATAAGAATACAGCCCATATTGCTAAGTTCATACCCCAAGCTCTGGAAGGCTTTCTGAACAGAAAGTACATCCTTCTGGGACAGATCATTTGTACCAAGATGTATAATAGCATCAACATCACAGTACTTGCTGGCATTCTTGACTATCTTAAGAATACGCTTCTTGTCTCTGCTGGCAGTAGCACCTGGTAGACACTTGACCTCTTTCAAAACCTCAGTATCCTTTCCTAAATTTACATCCCTTACAATTGAGTCCCCAACCAGAAGGTGGCTTCTCTTTTTGTATGCCTTGCTCTTCTTGTGTGCGTAATACCTGATTCACACTTTCTCCTTTCCCAAGTAAATTCTTCTTCTAGGACCATGATCCCCACCTTACTTGAGTTATCATTATCACAACTACCTTGACCTGTCACTTTAGTATCCCTATTAAGGTCAGCAAGGGCACAGTATCTGTTATGCTGGGAAACAGCAAAAGCTTTGCATTTATGGTCCACAGCTCTCACCCTGCCAAATCCCACGGATATGATAAGAAAGGGAAGTTGCTACATGTCTATGGAGATTCTCAGTCATCCAGGTCATGGTTGTCCCAAAGGTGCTTTTTCAAGAGGCACTGGACTTCAGTTGTGTCTTGAAAAAGCACCTTTGGGAAGTTGCTACAATTTGCAGGAAATGTCTTTGACATTCTAGCTTTCTATGAAACTAAAAGCCAATGTGGAATGAATATTTATGACAGATTTAGAGATTTTGTTGATGTCCTTTCCACTTCAACGCCCAGTTGTCTTTTTGTCTGAACTGATAAACATAGACCACACATTTGGGGCCAAGAATTCATTGAACAATTGTTCTGAGTTATTTAAGCAACCATACTAAAACCATCCATGGTCAGAGCAGCCTAAAAATTCATAGCCACCACAACTAACATGTCCAGACTAGTCCAAAACGTGTAGCTAGTCATGCTCTGGATTTTGTGTTCCTTCCTGGTTTTACTTGCAAAGCATATTCAGTTCCCTGAGATAACTATAAAAATTACTTTGAAACCTATTGGGAAACCTATAAGGGAAAAATAGAGACACAAGGCATTGAGAAGCAAGCCATTCTCATTTCCACCTTTTATCCCTCAAAACCAGACACTTCAATCACCTTTCCACCATAAGCCCTCAGAAAAAACATTGAAAGGGATTGCAATTTTCCAGTATCACCTCCAGCTGATTGGGGAGTCCGTGATCTTGGGAAAATTGCCCTCCCTCATTTTAACATCTAAAATAAAAACAACCAGGTTGATTAGCATAAAAACTATAGCATATGACTGGTCTTCAACTTACTAAAATTATTTAAAATATATGTAGGTTTAAGAGTTTTATACACACTATCACTCACACTTGTCCAGGTATTCTACAGTGAATGCCTGAATTTTCTAGCTGCAAGCTGCATTAGATCAATTAATGCTTTAACATATCTCAAAGGCAGAGGAAAAAGCATACAAATTTAAGTCGTATACTTAGCGTATCAGAAGGCACAGTCATTAAACAAATTTCTCCTTAATTTGATAAAAACATTTTAAATTGCAAAAAGGTAAAAGCAAAACTTTTAAAAATAATATATACATATGCCTGATTCCATCTTCAGAAAAGTATGTTGTAAAGATCTCAATAAAATCTTTAATCTTAACAAAAGTAATACTGTTTTGGATGACATAATTTGGGGTTGGGGGATTGGGGGGCTTATTGCTCCAATAATTACAAATAAATTTCAGAATAGTATCAGCTTTAGGTCTCCTACAGCCAAAAAAACAAAAACAAAAAATCTTGTGGTTTTTTTTTTTTTTTTTGCAAAACTAACCAATCTCTTGTGGCATTAGTTCACAGATGGTATCTATATGAACTTTAAGTCAGAGGACGAATCTAAGAGTAGAGATCAATACAATCCTGTCCATCTTCTCGTCACAAAGAGTCCTGAGCCAAGGCTTATTATTTTTAAAAGGAAAATGATGCACTAGGGACTCTCTTGCTGGGAGGCATCTCTTCTACCGATTGAACGGTCTGGCAAAGAAATTGGGTCAGCCTCCAGAAATGCATGATAAGGCTGAAGCTATGTAGCTAGTATGACTAAAAATTCTGATTTAAAAAAGTGCCTCATAGAAGGTGAAAGTGCTTCACAGAAACTACAAATACTTTATAATGTATTTTAATAGATTAATTAATGATTACACCAAACTATAAAGTTTTAACTCTGCATATTAGGAATTTATTACATATTAGGAAATCTAGCACTGACAAAAATGTGTTACTTTCAAATTAATAATTGCTATTCCTCCCAATTGATTTATTCAACCGTAAATTTTGTGCACATCTACGTACAGCTGGAAAATCAGTTTAGACTTTTATCACAAAGCATATTTCAGCTGAAATGGAAAGTAAATCTGTAAATAGAGCAAGGAAGTAGCTGGAACCAAGGGATGGGATTTCACTAGTGGGCATCCTTAGTTTTTTGAAGATAGCAACCAGTTATATAGAATAAAATAATGAAAAAATCTAATCAACAACCAAAGCCTAAATTTAAGTCTGATGCAGTCTTATGTTTTGCCTAGGATATGTTAATAATATTCTTTTAATCTCACCTATTCTTTGTCCACTGCCCCATTCTCCCTTCTGGAACTGTTTTTGCTTTACAAATTTTTAAAAGTATTGATTCTGTCTACTGGTCAGCTCCATTGTTTTTTTTAATTGATACATGTTGCTTTATAGAAATCTTATTAATTGTGAGTGGCCTAGATCTGCTATGGACTTGGATGGCCTCAACATTGAAATAATTAATAAATAAAATTTAAAAATTATAAGACATAAGAGATGAAGCTATCTTTCTGGTACTGTGCTGTTAGGGAAATCTTTACTAATTGAGTTATGCCTAGCTCTTTCAGTATAGCTGTAATTTAGCAATATATGGAAAGCCACAGCTTTCCTACTTCTACCAAAATTTCTATTTTTTACCAGAACTTAGAAAACCAGCATAAAGGATTGAAGCAACGGGAGACTTGAATCATGGCATATTCAACTGAAAATGTCAACACCATTGGAAACCCAAGAGAAGAGAGAAGAGAGGAAATTGGCTGGCTCCACAGTATTATGAGTCAGATTTGTATCTTTGATTTTAATTATTCTTATTCAATATATATTTCCATCACAGGAGGGCGGAGCTGGCGTCACAGCGATACGGCATGCGATCTTGAAGATCTGAGATCGCAGCCGATATCTTTGCTCCTGGAGGGTCCAAGTGGATCTAAACCGTCCCGAAGAGACGGTGAATGTAAAGAGCGCATCCTGTCGATCACAAAGTCCCTGGTAGATCCAGGAGAAGCTCTTTTTGCCAGCGGCAAAGAGGCAGCCATTAAAGCTGCTGAAGCTGGGACAGCTCCGAAACAAAAGAGAACGGAAAGAGAGAGTGTGCCGGTTTGGTGAGAACTTTTTCTTTATTTTAAGACTTGAAAGGACACCCTAAGGGAAAGAAAGAATCTGTAAAAGTTTTGACAGAAGTGATTAAGCAGCGATTTTAAACAGGAATGTCAAAGTAGTATTTTTTTTTTCTCATTGCTGGATTTTCTACACATGATTTTATATTTTGAAACTGGACTGGTTTTTTTCTTCTTTTTATATATTCTTCTCTCCTTTTGGATTTGATAATATTTTAAGCCAGAGACTCCCTTTAGTTATTTTTTAAATATCTTTTTTAAAATTAATTCTTATTATATTTTGCTTGGAAAAGGAGGGGGAAAGTGAAAGCTAAAGAAACTTTGTAACACTGCCAACTAGAGGCTTGGAAATATTCTATTTTTCTTTTGACCAGACAAAGCTGAGAAAGAACTGAGACTTTGTTTCAAGGACATTGCTTGCTTGATAAGATAGAGGGAAGAGCACGGGAGAGTATTATTACAGTTGCTCTTCTGGGTTTCTATCAACAGCTGGAGTCTGGTGTTGAAGCTTAGGAAAAGAAAAGGCGATAAGTCTTTGGAGAAGAGAGTTATAACAAGAGCCTTGGATAATCAAAGTGCAGTGTGCTCTTTTCATTCTTTTTAAGCTGTGCTACCCCTCCTCATCAGTTTACTTTTTTTTTGCAATAGCTATTTGGCTCTCTGGAACTTGTCTTCGTTTTTGTTTTGTTTTTTTCTTGTCTTTGGAAGTTAAATTTCTACGTCTGCTTTTTATTTTAAAGGAAAAGTATTAATGCTAGTAGTATTAATGCTTCCCTTCCTTTTCTTTTTAAGGGAGTAGCCTTTTTCTTCTCTTTCCCTTCCTGGTATTTTTGTCTTTCCATCTACCTTCCATATTAGTTTTTTTTTCTTTTTCTTTGGTTTATTTTTATGCATACTTTTATATTTGAGACCTCTTAATTGGATTAAGGTGTTGAAGAACCTGAAGAATTTTTCCTTTCTTTTTTAGCCTTTTTCTTCACTTTTTCGCCTTTTTTAGGATTTTACAACTTTTTCTCTTTTGTGTGTGTTCATGGTGTGTTTATGGTCTTTTCCTTCATTTATGAATTTTTACTGTCATCTAACCAACCGATTGGATTAAGGTATACAAGAACCTGAATAAATTTTTTCTTCTTTTTCTATTATTATTACTATTTGGCTTCTCTTTTCTTACTATTCTCCTACTTTTTTCCTACTATTTTTATTTGGAACTGCAATTGGTTATTTTACAACTGGATTAAGGTCTAGAAGAACCTGAAGATTTTGAACTCCTCAAAATGAGTAGGAAATTAACAGCTCCTGGTTCTTCCACTTCCACTTCTTCCTCTCCACCATTTGAAGGACAACGTTCAATACAGACAATATTAAGGCAAGAAAAAGAACAAAAAAAAGTGACCCTGCAGATGATTATGCAAGGAATTCAAAATATTCAAACAAGATCAGAGAATATTGAAAAGAGAATAGAGAACATTGAACAAAGAACAGGGAAAACCGATGAAAAAGTGGAGAACATCCAACAAATGATGATGAAGTATGACGAGAGACTCCAAAAAATTGAAGAAGATAAGCAAAGAGAGAAGAAGATTGGAGACATTGATAACAGATTAACTGTGGTTGAACAAGATAAAAGTGGTATGCTGAGATGGGAGATGGACAGATCAGAATTTTATCTTAGATTCCAAAACATAGAGGAAGAAAAAGGACAAAATCTAGCTGAGATAATGATAGAAATATTGGCTGAAGCTTTGGAAATAACTGAAGAGAAGATGATGGATGGAATAGATGAGGTTTATTGAGTCTTTACAAGATATGCGATGAGAAATAGCTTACCAAGAGAAGTTCACATCAGATTTACAAAGAAAGCCATTAAAACGCAAATATTGCAAGTGGCAAGAGAGAAAACATTGAAATACAAAGATAAGGAGATTGTGGTCTTGAAACAAGTACCCAGAAGTGTGAGAGAGATGAGAAGGGAATACCGATTTTTGACCAAATTGTTACTTAAAAAAGAGGTGAATTATAGATGGCTGATTCCAGAAGGTTTAATGTTTACATGGCAAGAACAGAGATATAGAATTGACTCAATTGAGAAAGCTGAATCATTTTACACAGAATTTTTCAGAGGGGAGGAAGAGGCAGAAAAAGAAATTTCACTAATTGAATTCCAAGAGGACTCCCAAATGACGACTGAAAAAGAAGAAGGTGCAGTAGGTGGAAAGGAGGAAGCCAAAGAACAACGTGAACCAAGATCCACAAGAGCTGTTAAACCTAATTACAAAATATAACCATGGAAGAGAAAAAATTGACTACAATTAATATAAATGGACTTAACTCAGCCGTTAAAAGAAGGAAAATCTTTCATAAATTAGAGAAATTAAAATTTGATATAATCTGCCTACAAGAAGTACATATTAAAAAACAATATGAACAATTGTTGATACAGCCAAAATTAGGGAAAATATTCACTTCCTTGACACAATGTAAGAAAAGAGGAGTGGTTTTATATATTAAAGAGACCATCTCAGCAAAATTGATTTATACTGATGGCGACGGAAGAATATTAATGGTGGAAATAATGGACAATAATACGAAAACACTCCTGATTGCAATTTAGGCTCCGAACGACAAACAAGAAGAATTTTATAAAAAATTACATATGAAAATAGTTGAACTGGACTATGTTAATATAGTTATGATGGGAGATTTTAATGGAAGTGTAGACAGTAAACTGGACTACACAGCACAGAAAACAATAAAGGAAAATAGAAAGACTCCCTAAATCTTTTTTTAAAATGGTAGATGAAATAAATTTAAAAGATACATGGAGAGAAAGAAATGCTAAAACTAAACAATACACCTTCTACTCAAATAGACACTTATCATGGTCCAGAATAGATATGATATGGATGTCAACAGAATTGTTAACTAGTATTCAAGAAATAAATATTGAAACAAGTACTTGGGCAGATCACAATCCAATGACAATTAAATGGAAAGGACAAAGAAGAAGATCTAGATGGACATTAAATAATACTATTTTAAAGGGAAAAGACTTCACACAGTGGATGGAGAAAGAATTGGCCTTTTTCTTTGGAGAAAACAAAGAAGAAGATACATCAATTTAGAATGTATGGGATACAATGAAGGCATATGCCAGAGGCTTGATAATAGACTATACAAGGAAAAGAAATACCATGAAAAGATTAGCCTCTAAGGCATTAGAAGATGAGTATAAAGGACTCGAAAAAGAGCTACAGAAAATGCCACAGAGAAAGGACATTAAGTTAAAAATGGATATAACCAAACATAAAATGGGTTAGAAAAATCAAAAAAGAATTAGCACAAAAAATTAGAGGTGCCAAACAGAACTATTTTGAAGATGCAAATAAACCAGGTAGATGGTTAGCATATAAATTGAGAAAGGAGAAAGAATCAAGGAAATTATCGTAATTAATAGATGACCAAGGCCAAGTTTGCTATGGTAGTAAAGAGAAGAAGGAAATTATTCAAGATTATTATGGGGAACTATACATACAAGAGAATATTGATGAGGAAAGAGTTAAACAGTATTTACAGAATGCTAATTTACCCCAGATACCTAAAGAGATTGAAACAATGTTAGAAAGCAATATAAAGATGATGGAGTTAACTGAAGCACTTAAGAAACAAAATAATGGAAAGGCACCAGGCCCAGATGGACTTCCGGCAGAATTTTACAAAACATTACAAGAATCATTGAATTTTCCATTGCTAGAAGTTATGAATGAAGTTATGTTAAAGAAGAGGATACCTAAATCATGGTCAGAAGTTTATATCACACTTGTTCCAAAAGAGGAGACCGATCCATTACAAATCAAGAACTATAGACCTATCTCCCTACTAAACGCAGATTATAAAATCTTTTCTTCAATATTGGCCACCACAAAGCAGTTGAAGATGATGTGCCTCATTTTTGTGCTATACAAGAGGAAAAAAATGAACTATAGGGTCTCTGATTCTATCCTGAACTTCAGTTACATCCAAAAGAAGCATCTAACAGTTTGTATTACCTCTAGAATTCAGGTCAATCTCTGAAATGAGGGTCTTCCCTTTCCTTGCAACAATGACACAGATTTGTAAGCAAAGTTACTTGGATTTTCTTCTCTTTTCACAATCTCCAAATACACCTCAAGCCCATTTAACTTTAGTAATAATTTATGTAAAAAAATTCAGCATAAAAAAATTAACTCCTAAAATTTAATTCCAAATAAATTACTGAAAATGAACAAATGGTTAAAAAGTTTCTAGTAAAATCGACGTTTATTATAATCTTCAAGTTTTAAACCATGCCACTTACTCTGGTCGGCAAATCACCAGATCCCCTTTATTAGTGCCATATGCTAATCCTAAACCTGGCTCAGGTAGCCAGCGAGCAGAATTTATGCTGACGTGTCTCCTTTGATCGGCAGGCATTGGGTACAAGACATTGAACACTCTCTAAAACAAGAGAAACAAAATAGAATTAACAATGATTCAAACAAGCAAAACTAAGTTTGAAAGAAGATCAAACTACTTTTTTTACATCCTGCAAATAAAATAAATAATATGAAACAAGAAAGTATAAAATTTAGTATTAATCATCCTCCACATTAAAAACTAGACAGTATTCTTTTCAGCAAAATAACTCCAAGTATTAAGAAGTCTTGGGACTGTGTAATCTACTACTGGGCTGGACATCAGAATTTTATTTAGCCTCTCTACAAACACTGTCAAATATCATAGATGCAAAAATTCATATATTAGTAAAATATAGGTGCTGCTGTTCCCTATTGCAGAAAAACACAAAACTGGTATGTATCAAAGTTGAAATATCAGAGAATGTTGTAAACCAGAATTTAAAAAGGGAGAATGAAGAGGGGAGAAGGAATCAAGCTTGCTAAATATTTATGTTTAAGTTATGTGATTTCTTATTTTATTGACTCTTACTTCTTTCTCCTTTGATCACTTAAGGATATGAGGATATTTTTGATACATGTATGTGTGCACACATTATCAGCCCAATCTATCCATGGCATGGGAAAAGTCTCTTCCTTCAAGGTTATGAACTGTAACTGTAATCTACCAGTCCAGAACAGGTTGGTAGATAAGGTCTTTCCAGTCTAGGACTGAGATGACTGATCCAAGTTACTTGACTAGCCTCTATACCTAGAACATAGCTCTTCTTACTCCTGGTCCAGCACCTTACCCACTACATCAAAGTGCTCTAGTGCAGGGGTCGCCAACCTTTTGGACCTCGGGGACCACCAAACTCATAATTTTAAATCCCAGGGACCACTAACTGGTTCTGTGGGCATGGCCTAATTTGTGGGTGTGGCTTGGTGGTCATGTGACTGGCTGGGCATGGCTTGTATGTAAACATTATAAATATTTATATAAATATTGAATTTTTTATTAAAAAAGAGTAACTTTTACCGAAAATCAGACAAAGCAGGCAGGCAGATTGAGTTGCTCACAGAATCATTCAGTGGCCTATCTATCTGCCATAGATTTGAGAGACTGCTCAGTCTCTCAAATTTGCTTGTCGTGAGTCCACACTGAATAATAGAACCTTCAGTCCTAAGGGAGGTTTGGCTGTGCTTAAAAGCAGAGCTGAAGTCTAAAGATTAGCTAGAAAACAAAGAAATCCAACCATTTCCTGCTTCCTAGCTGATCTAAATCTCCCGGCACAGCAGAACACCTGATGGTCGGAAAAAGGAAAAATAGCAATTTAGCAGGCAAGTTTGCCGGGTAAGGAGTGAGTGGGTGGGGAGGGTTCCCACGGGCCATGTGGGCGGCACAGCCTTGTGTTTCTGCGCAGCCTGGATTAGTTGCTTTGGGGGTGCTCTGGGGGTGAGATTTCTCTGCGCCCCACCAAAATTTACTCACGGCTCACCGGTTGGCGACCACTGCTCTATTTGTGTATAGCTGTGTGTATTAAAAAAAAATAGTGGATAATGATAGCTACAAAGAAGTTAATAGTAATAAACTTTCACATCAATAAAAGGAATGTTAGTGGAATACATAATGACTTTGCCCACTTTAAAAAAACATATAAATAACTGTTTGGGGGCATTTTATCTTCCCCAAAAGTAAATGGCATTTGGCAAACTTCAGGATAATTTAAGACTGTCAACTCTTTGATGTTATCGTTAATACCTACATGATTTCAGCATATCTATCCTATTCTCTTGACTGTGTAACAAAGAATCCAATATACACTGGTTGTATCTGTTGCCATGGAGATTATGGTATGACTCCAGTTTTAATGGGACTATGATACCAAGAAGCCTTTTATAAGAGCAAAGTAGCATTTCTTCAGAAAAATAAGCATTGTTTTGAGATGTAAAGGGGAAAAAATTCACGAGGGGATCATAAGGCAAACTTGCTTTATGAATAAACAATTTATCTCAGACAACTGCTTCTTGCTAAGAAATGTGGCTGGAAACGACTCCTTGGATCTAGCAATTGCTATACTACATTTACTGTTCATTTCCATTGGGAAATCTTAACCTGTCTGCATCTATCAGAAGAACTCAACTTCTTCACAAACATCGATTGTCTATGAGAGCATAGCTCCATATGGCCTAAATCATCCATGCCAGGGATGCTTAATATTGTGAATTATTGGAAGGAGGATGGTTCCTACTACCATGGTGGCCAAACCTCCATGCAGGATTAGGGGAAAATCTCAATTCTACTGCACTGTTTTGAAGAGTGAATTTCTCCTCCTATTCCTAATCTTTCCAGAAAAACAAAAACAAACCCAAAATTAATTTTCCCTGATATATCTATCATTATCAGATAAATAGAAACAAAACTATAACTTCTCCGTTGTAATATACTTGTTGTGAGAATCAAGATGGCATAAGTACATTTTAAAAAGATTTTTAAAAAACAGCTTTATTGGAATAAAACAGAGAACAACTGTTCAGTGATGAGGTGTATTTGTTAAATTCCCACTATACAAATACTCCAAGTAGGAAAAAAGGCCTGATTTATCAATCCATACTTACAGTACAGATAACATTTCCTCTCCTATTCTATAGCAAATTTTCTGTCAAATATCACATCACCAAATGATATCCTAATTTCATCTCCTTGTCAATTTACTTTGTTAGATCAACAGTAATTGCAACATAAGCTGTCTTCTTGGTAGAGCTGACTTGTTCCTCACAAGAACACTGCTACAGGACACAGAGTTTACTCTTGTACAGAGTGCTCCTGAGTAAGGTCTTCTTTATTTTGTCTATCTTGCTATTATAAGATTAACCCACCAAGAAAGACACAATGCTTTCCTATTGATTTTCTAAAACTAAAAATGACTTTCACTCCTTTTTTTCCAGGATCTGTTCTTATGTCTTTTGTTTGTTTTTCTTCCAAATCTATTAGTTTGTTGTTGGAAGTCTAAATCCTCAAATACTGCTTTCTAAATTCAATCTTTTTAGGTAGTAAGTGCACACCTTGGGACTTGTGTTGCTTAACTGGCTATTAATTCAAAGCTTTTCTTTAGTCTTTAAGCCATCTAAGATACCATTGGCCTGTGGAAGACAAATAATAGTCTTAAATTTTCTATACAGTTCTGAAAAGTTTATTAGACAAACAAACAGTCTGTTGGTCCTGAGGGGGAAG